ATTTTTAAATATAAAGTACTCAATGAGAAATTATATGTGGCCTTTGATAGAATCAAAAGCTGTTTTGAAGTTTACAATCAGACATTTCAGAACAGCTTGGTTCAAACTGGAATTTGCCCCTACCTGCCCTGCTCCCCCAGCAGCCTCTGCCTGGCGGGGGCTTCGGATGCTCAGTGGCGACCGGGGCAGCGCGGGTCCCTGCAGCCCTGGCACACGCCGCACTCCTGCCCCGCACCGCAGCCTCCTTCCTGCCGCGTGGGGTGATGGGGCTGCAGGAAGGGTCCCCCAGTGGCCGGGGAGTCCCTGCCCGTGAGGGAAGCCCGAGGCACTGCCTGGGCCCGGCCTCGGGCTCGGCTGGGGAGCGTGGTCCGCCCAGCCTCCGGGGGCAGCAGCAGCCCCTCCGCTATCTTCTGTGGCTGCGCCCCCCCCTTCCCTGCCCGAGCTCGCTACAATGTAGCCGGGCAGCTGGGCTGCGCTGCGGACCCGGCGGATCGTGCTGGGGCTGGGCAGACCCTGGCTTATGCTGCCTCCCTATTTCCCCGGACATGTCCAGCTTTTTGGCAATTCCCCCCAGACGGGGATTTGAGCACCAAAAAGCCGGACATGTCCGGGGAAATCCAGATTTATGGTAACCCTAGTTTTAGCCTTTGTAGTCTTTCAGCTCAGGTTCCCGGAGGCAGGTGGTAAAGGACAAGCACCTGCTAGTATTGCTCTGGATCACACCTTTATTCCCTAGGCCAGAAATAAACTAAATCTCTAGGACAATGTTCTCCAACCTTTTTACACCCAAGATCACTTTCTGAATTTACGGGCAACCCAGGATCCGCCCCGCTCACTGCATTTCCCCTTCTCTTCCTCACTCGCTTTCCCCCGCACCCTCAACTCACTTTCACTGAGCTGGGGTAGGGGGTTGGGTCTCGGGGGGGGGGGGGGCAGTCTCTGGGTAGGGTGACCAGACAGCAAGTGTGAAAAATCGGGACGGGGTAGGGGGGTAATAGGAGCCTATATAAGAAAAAGACCCCAAAATCATGACTGTCCCTATAAAATCGAGACATCTGGTCACCCTAGCTCTGGGCTGGGGCCTAGGGGTTTGCAGTGTGGGAGGGGGCTCTGGGCTGAGCCTGGGGCAGGGGTTTGGGATGCAGAAGGGGGTGATGGGTGCAAGCTCTGGGAGGGAGTATTGGGTACGGGGGGCTATGCAGGCTCTGGGACTGAGTTTGGGTGCAGCAGGGGGCACAGGCTGCTGGCTCTGGGAGGGGGTCAGGGCTAGCGCAGTGTTGGGATGCAGGAGGAGAAATGGAGTGCTGGCTCCAGGAGGGGACTCAGGGTTGGGGTGCTAGCTCTGGGAGGGGGCTCAGGGTTGGGGTGTGAGAGGCTTGGGGTGCTGGCTCAAGGCTGGGGCTTGCAGTGCAGGAGGGGGTTTGTGGTACTGGCTCCAGGAGGGGGCTCAGGGCTGGGGGTTAGGGTACAGCCTCCCGCTGGGCAGCACTTACCTGGTGGTTCCTGGTCTGTGGTGCAGCGTAGCTGCTGCTAAGGCAGGCTCCCCACCTACCAGGCCCCACACTGCTCCTAGAAGGGGCCAACACGCCCCTGCGGGGGGGGGCATGTGGCTCCACATGCTGCCCTTCTCTGCAAGCTCCGCTCCTGCAGCTCCCATTGGCCACAGCTCCCCATTCACGACCAATTGGAGCTGTGGGGGCAGTGTATGCAGGCAGGAGCAGCACATGGAGGGAGACCCTGTGTGTCTCCCCTGCAGCAGCCCCAGGGCCACTTCCAGGAGCAGCATGGGACAGGGGCAGGCAGGGAGCCTGCCTTGGTGGCAGCCCCACTTCTCCACCAGAGATCGCGATCAACTGGGAGATCCTCTAGGATCGCCATCAACCTGTTGGTGACCACTGCTCTAGGAAAAGGGGAGTAAGTGAAATGTCCTGAATCCCTGCCATTTCTCCAATAGGGAACCATCTATGCACAGGATGGGATGTAATCAAAAGCGTGTGTTTTATTTCTCCTTCCTTACTAGTTAGGAGGAGGCTCATATTGAGTCAATTTGCTGAAAGGCTGGTCAGGTTAGATACAATTTTAAAGGTACTTTTAATTTCTATAGGATTTTTACATTTTACAATTTACATTTAAAAAAATTTAAATCAGATTTGTATATACTTGTCACTAGTTCTTTATTTCTTGGTTTTTCACGAAATCTGTTTACAGCTATGCACTCTACAAGCATTAGCCTTACAGGCTAGCATTTAAGTCTTATTATCTATCTTTAAAAATGGAGATGTAAATTATCTTAACAGATGGAATATCTAAAATGTATACAACAGCTATCTGGGGCAGACAGAGATTGTGCAGTTCAAGAGAATCTTACTATAGATGAACGGAAATGGAAGTGATGCTCCACCGTAGAGAACATTATTCTTGATTGCCTAATTTTTAAATATAAAGTACTCAATGAGAAATTATATGTGGCCTTTGATAGAATCAAAAGCTGTTTTGAAGTTTACAATCAGACATTTCAGAACAGCTTGGTTCAAACTGGAATTTACCCAAGCACATTATGCCTTCTCAGATCTTGGTGTGTGACCTCACTAAGGCTAGGTCTACACTGGGGGGGGGAATCGATTTAAGATACACAAATTCAGCTATGTGAATAGCATAGTTGAATTCGACGTATCCTATTCGAGTTACCCCACTGTGAGGATGGCGGCGACAGCGCTTACTCCTCCTGACGAGGTGGGAGTACACGTGTCGATTAGGTGATCGATTTATCCGTCTAGATGAGACACGATAAATCGATCCCCGAGAGATCGATTTCTACCCGCCGATCCGGGCGGGTAGTGTAGACTAGCCCTAAGGCCAGAATTAGAAAAGGAAGGCAAGGTGACTCCACCAGCATTTTCGGGAAGTTCAAAGGGGGGCTAGATTAAGCAGAGATGACTCCTGGCTCTTTATTTAAATTTTATATTAATAACAAAAGAAAAATTAAAGGAGCTTGTTTTTCTTTGTTATTCTTAAGTTGACTGAAGTGTTGGGTAGTGCTGTACATTTGGTTAATTTTGCAATAAGTTATCAAGCTAAAACACAGTCTCGTGGGGCTGTAGACTACTGAAAAACTCTGAAAACTGCACTGGATTACTTTTGAAGATACTGGCTCTGCTCTGCTAAACTCCAAGGTTACACCAAGCACTAGGGAATTAACCCTGTGCCTTGCTGCTAAACTGCAAGAAGACATCGTCTAGGTTTATGGCTACTAAAGCAGCACCTTAGCTTCCTCCAGTTAAACCCCCCCAAGCCTGGGGAGAACATTTGTGGTTTCCAACGATCCCGGCGCTGGAGAAGGGTCAAGGATTGGAGGGACGGCGCATCCCGGCCCTGGCAGAACTAGGGCTCCGCGGTCCGGGACCCGCTGCAGGCGGGCGGGAAGCTGGTTTGTGGCGTTTCCTCACCATTAGGCACGTAAAGCCCAATGACACGAACACGCGGGACTGAGAGCATCCGAACCACTCAGCAATACTGCAAAAAGAGGACACTCCACGGGGCCCTGGCCCCACCCTTCCCCAAAGTCCCCGCCCCAACTCTGTCCCCTCCCCTGAACGCTCCGCCAACCTGCTCTTCCCCCTCCCCTGCTTCCCCCGAATCAAATGTTCACGGGAAGCCTGAAACAGGCAGGCAGCAGGTAAGTTGGGGTGGTGGTGGTGGGGGAACGGGACGCGAGGAGGCATGGCCCAGTCTGGCCCCCCCAGCCGAGTGGCTCCTCCGTCGGCCAGCCCTGGCCAAGAGGCTCTGGCCCCGGCGGCTCCAGACTGGCTCGGCTCGGGACCTGGGGCGCCGGCCCCAGCCGAGTGGCTCCGGCCCAGCACCCCAGCCCCGGCCCTAGCGACTCCAGCTCGGCTCGGGCCCCAGGGCCCCGCCCGAGCACCCCC